GATTGGATATTCATAATTTAATTTTTAAGGCTACATGTCAATGTGTTTTCTGAATATTTTTTTCTATATTCGCTACTTTTAGTGGCAATAAAATAGCTTTGTTTAAAAAAGAATCATAATAAAATTTCACTCTCTAAGTTTTAAGTGAAAGAACTTGAGTTAGCTTGTTTAAATCTGAAGGCTATGATTTTTTGTTTGTTTTCAAAGGCAAATATTAAATTTGAGTTAACTTATTTAATAGTATCTTCTCTGAAACATTCATAATAGTCTTACAAACAATGCTTAATCTTTAAAAATCAACATTCTTGAGCAATGGCAAGAGAGGGTAACAGAAAGTGAATATGATCAAAATATATCATACACCTTTGTGAAGGTGTCATAAGGAAACATTATCATACACAATTAATATATGTACTAACATTAGTATCACTAATATTAATACTAGTAATACTAATGTAATAGTTTTGTTAATCAAATGCCTTTTAAAGTATGAAAAGTGACAGACATTGGGAACACATCGACGCTAAGGTGCAGAACTGCCCCCTTTTTCCCGCGCCACCACATTTCATTTGAGAAACCTCCACTCCCCAGCCTTGGCCATGTGGTAGATGAGGCTGTCCCAAAATCAAGCACATGGCCTGGCCCTGGCCCTTGAGAATTCCACATTCTCCAGGTCCCTGACTCAGACCAGCAAAGTGTGCCCCCATGAGGTCTCAGATGAAACTAAAGGAAAGGGGACTGCTCCCACAGGGTTGCTAAGCTAACAGGGCACCAATGGTCATCTCCCCCGTGGCCTGGGAAAAGCTGTCAGCAACCGTCAGCTAGGGAGAGCGGCTTCCTGGGTCTGAACACCTGCATCCAGCTGTGGCTGAAGCCAGACCCCTGGAGCCTGTCCACCAACACATGCCAACGGATTCCTTTGTTTGTTTTGACCAAGTTTAAGCTGGACTTCTGCCATGGCCAACCAAAATATCCCAACACAACCTATCGGTGCCAAGTAGCTCAGATAACACACTAAATAAAAGAAAAAAAAAGCACATTTGATTTTTGCAAGTGTGTGAATCAGCCAAGGGAATTACAAATATTTTGTTATTTGTCGCTGCACAATGATTTAAAGAGACAGGAAGCTAACCAGTAAAAGAGTTTACATCTGTAAGCAGGTATGTTTCAAGGAGATTAACCCTCTAGATACCTTCACACAGGCTGTCACTTATCTATGGTTTACGTTTTAATTCCTCAAGCCTAGGACCTACTTCTATCAATTACTCTCTCCAGCATAGACAACCCTCAGCCCCAACTTAACAGCTTTCTTACTCTTTAGCCTGGAGGTCTACACACATCTCCTGTATGTAAAACAAGGAGCAGTTACAGACTTCAATGTCAAAAGCCATGCACGACCACAACGAAACACTAACAAAATCTGTGTTTAACTGTTCCAGTGTTAACCGTGTTCATCATGGATGTCTCTAGTGGTCATGGCATAGCTGATTTCTTTCGCTTTAAAAAAAATAGTATTTTTCTATGGTTTCCAAATCTTCCTGATATTCTTGCTTTTTGTTCTGGTTTTGGTGGTACTGGGATGGAAGGTTCATGCATTTTCTTCTTCTTCATGCAAGCATTCTACCATGGAGCTACAGAAGCCACAGCCTCAACCTGCTCTGTACATTTTTTTCTAGGCAGGCTCTCACTAAGTTACCCAGGATGACCTTGAACTTGCCATCCTTCTGCCTCAGCCTGTCAAGTCACTGGGGTTACAGGCCTGAAACATCAATTTGAACCTGCTATTTCTTCTGGAGTAAAGCTACGTATGTTAAAAGTGTTTCTCCTTTCAATTTGACTCAGTTATTACTCGCTTCACTCAGCTGAAACCGCCATGCTGAGGGGATGGATGTGGTGATGGCCACAGCCAGCTGGTCCCCTTCTTTTACCTATCCTTCTGCCCTCTTTAGAGCAATCACCACCCACATCCCTGGCTCAAGTCAGAAACTGTTCCTTCTCTTCCTTCTCCATTTGGTCATTCAGCACACGGACTGTCTCTAATGCACTGTGATGATACAGCCCCTCTCCGTTCACGGCCCGCTTGCTGGCTGACCTCTGTGGCTCCAAGTTCAGTACCTCCTTCTTCCCCATATCACACAATCCCAGAAGTCAGCACCCTAGACCACAAACAGAACCATTTAATTCCTCCCACTTAATACTTTCAGTGGCCCTTGAAACATTCACAAATGAAGCCTAATGACTTGCCTGTTAGGAGAGACCCTTCACGGGCCACTCTCAAACCCTTGGCCCCATCTTACACCTCTCCCGTCCTGGACCAGAGGCTCCAGGGGGGCTTAGAAGATGGCCAGGCTCTGTAAGCCTGCACCCTTTTTTCATGCTCCCCTCTCTGCATGGCTCACCTTTCTTCCTCTTCTCTGCATGAACTCTTGCTCATGCAGGAAGCCCCAGCCCAGCATACATTCTGCCTATTTTCATGAGGAGTCGTTATCACTATATCTTGGCCACCAGTAGACAGTGGTCGACTAAAGTACCTTTTGTTATATTGGATTCTTGCACACAGAAAACAGACAGCAGAATAGGAAAAGGGAAAGATGGTAAGAACTAGAGGCCTTCCCTAAAGCTAGACTTCTAGAACATTTTCTATTTGATGTCCCCTTATGCCTAAGAAATCGTCACGTGACCCCAAGTATACTGAACATAAAATAAGTGTACAAACATTCACTGATTATAAATTTTAAAGAAATTTATTCTTAAAGTTCATTTAATTTTCCCATATATTAAAAAAAATTGGTTCACTGATGAAATGGGTGTGCTTATTTATTTTTATCTAAAGAACCAAGTCTTGGGTCAACAAGATGGCTTAGCAGAAAAGGTACTTACAGACAAACCTGAAGACCTGAGTTTAGTCCCCAAGGCTGATGTATAATGAAAGAACCAGCTTCTACAGGTTGTCCTTTGACTGCCACATGTCCATCGTGATACGCAAGTGCACATGCGCGCGTGCGCGCACGCGCGCGCACACACACACGTGCACATGCACATAAATAAATAAACGTATTAAAAACTTTTTTTAAAAGGCTATTTGACACTGCAGGATATCCAGCATCCTCAACAGTTTCCATTTTATCATATTCTATTTTATAATAATAAATGCCACTTAGACTGCCACTTCATTTAATACACAATATACAAGGACAGAAATGTATTTAGAGTAATTTCAGAAACCACTGGAAACTTAAGCACTATGCCGGGAATTTGAAGCAAGTGATTTCTGCTTTTTTTGTGCCCAAAAGTCTCATAGGAAATGGCTACTTAATTCCCAGAAGTCTTTATAACCTCACTCTAGTCTTCTCTGAATTCTCCTTTGTAATTTAAAAAAAAAAAGTCTGACTATTTTTAATACTGGACAACTGACAGTTTTCAAATCTCATCCCTCCCCCTCTAGCATGATATCTGCACAAGCTGTACAAAAGCCTGGACATTTCCCCTGGCCTTCAGGAAAGTCAAACCCAGTCTTTGTGTAGGATCTCTCACCCTAACCATTCCCCAACCACAGTACAAACCAAAGGAATGCCCATCCCTCACCCAATCTCAGTGGACCACTTTGTGTGCAACCCTGTTCTCCCCAGAAAGTCTCACCAAATAAACACCAAACCTTTGCATCCTCTCTTGACGTTGCATGGCTCCATCATCTAACTAATTCGGGATGGGAAGGTGAATCCCAACCTTCATGGTTTCGGTTTGAATGTGAGGTGTCCCCACAGGTTGGTGTGTTTGCAGACTCAGTCCCTAACTGGTGATGCTGTTTGGGAGGATTGTGGAACTTTCCGGAGGTGTAGCCTCATTGGAGGAAGTGCTATCCTGGGGGTGGGTCCCACTTCCTATTCCTTCTGCTTCCTGAGTGCTGATGCACGGTGACCAGCCAGTTTCCTGTCCCTGCGGCCTGCCTTCCCTGCCCAGGCAGACTGTGTCCCTCTGAAACTGAGTCAAAGTCACACTTTCTCCCTTGAATTGTTTGTCAGGGTATGTTATCACCACAACAGAAAGGAAACTGGGGCAGCACTGTAACCAGAAACCCCCTGAAACAGTGAGCTCCTGTCCCAGCCTTATGCTACCTAGATTACAGATACAGTTCAGCAGAATGCAGAGAAGATGCAATGGAGACACGGACAACATTCCCAAGCAGGAGAAACCTCACACTGAGGAGCCTGATTATTAAGTTCTACAGCCTGACGATCAGTTCAACACAGATTATACAGAAGGAAACTGATCCAGTTTCCATGGCTGTAACAAAACACCTGAGACCCTTCAAATAATAGAAGTATATTTGGGTTGTGGTTCTGGAAGCTGTGAGGTCCAAGAGCACAATGTGGCATATGCTCAGCTTCTGCTGGGGACACCGTGAGACAAAGACACACTTGGTTGGTCTCTCTTCCCCTTCTTAGAAACCCACTAATGACAAGAAGGGGACTCCAGCATCAAACCCCATGAACCCTAATTAGCTCCCCAAAGCTTCCAAGTATTAACACAGGAATCTGAGGACTGACTCTCCAACACATGAACTCTGGAAGACCCCCCCAGTGTATCTAGGATTGTCTAGTTATTACCACCAAAACAAGTGAGTGTTCACATGAGTAATCTTTCCTCCCTGGACGGCTCTCAGACACAACAGAGTCCTAGGGGTGACATGTTAGGTTGTCTCATCATCACTTGTTGCTAACTCAAGTCTCTGCACATGCTGAGATGGACAAACATATTCCTTCTTATTGACATGCTAAGTGAGAAAGCCAGTGTAACTGAAGGGCTAACATGAAAAGTCACAAATAGTAGTAACATCCTTCAAATCACACTGAGCTGTCAATCAAATGATGTCTACAAGTGCACAGCACAGAAAATGTCCCATGACTTTTCAGTCATATCTAGACTCCTAAAGGTCAGAATCATGAAAAACAGCCTTTCTCAGAGAGAGGGGTTATAATAGCAAAATGTCAAGTACTTACGCATCTTTAACTGCTCCTGTTGGACCTAGGGGGAAATGAAAAGATTTCCGTTAATGTGATAGTACCTCTACAAATTAAGCCCAGTACCTAAATGGATTGAAATGTGTGTGCATGTGTGCGTGTGCATGTGCATGTGCACGAGAGAGAGAGAGAGAGAGAGAGAGAGAGAGAGAGAGAGAGAGAGAGAGAGAGAATTTGAAGATGACACACAACACACAACTCTGGCTGGTGGCCTGGAACTCACTATGTAGACAAGGTTGGCTTCCAACTCACAGAGATCATCCTGCCTCTGCCTCCCAAGTACTGGGATTGGTGTGTGCCACTACATCTGGCCCAAAACTACTTTTAAAATAATGTTAAAAAAAAACCAAAACAAACAAAAACAAAAAAACCTCTCCATCCGTTTCACCATTTCACTGGTGTCTACTTTGAACTACTGGGGTCATACTACACACTAATCATGAAACAAGACAGAGGTGATGGACACAATGACATAAGCCGTGTTGACACCAGCCTGGCCCCAGGACTCGGCTTTCCCTTGACTCTAGCTACAGATCACACACAGCCCAAGGCTCTTCTGTGTCCTGCACCCACCTTTACCTGGAAGACTCAGACCTTGGTTCCTGCCCTTACTAGTTAAGACATCACATTGTCCTACAGCACTTGAGATCTAATTTTCCCTCTTGAATCGAACAAGGGCAAAAAGACTGCCCTTCTCAAAGTGAATAAAATGGGCTGTAACAGTCACAGCATTCCCTAGAATGGAAGGTGTGTTTACAGAGTAGGTGAATATGGAAGAGATACTGAATGCCATGGAACCAGACAGGGTTGAAACAAGTTTTGTGTCTTCCATATATATATAGTATGTACACATATGTGTGTGTATACGAGTGTGTGTGTGTGTGTGTGTGTGTGTGTGTGTGTGTTGGGGGGAGAAAAAGGGGACAGATAGACAAGTGGGCAGAGACACTTTGTAATTTAAAATCCTTTAAAACATCACCCTAAAATAAAAAAATAAGACTATAATATCCAGCGACAGGGTATTTTGATCATATAAATAAATAATAAACAATGCCTCAGAAATGTGCTTTTTCAGAGTTAAAACAAGCAGAGGATCTCGAAGAAAGGCCAGAAAGAAATAATAACCTTAGTTTTATTCATGGGAAGGGGAAAAGTGGTTTCCTGTTCCTTGTGGTGGGGGAGGGGACAGCTAGATGTGTGGGAAACTGTGATTCTCAGAGTCTTACAAAGAACACACATCGTGAGTCCACAGTTGCTGAAGAGACATTGGACTATTGCGGATGGGCAAGCATCAGAAGTCTCCTGCGGCGTCTCAGAGGTGTGCAGGGCAGGCTCAGCACAGAAGCAGAAGGCAACATTCTGACCCACATGGTGTCTGTGTCCTCGCTAATGTCTGTCGAACAGTCACTAAATTACTATGCTCCCGTGTCCAGTGAGTGGGGACATGTTGGACAGACCGAGCAGCTTAGGGCACAGTGCAATAGCGTGTGTGGACCAAGGATTTTAAAAGCTGCAGCATGTTGTGTAATCAGTCAGTACTCGCTTCAATCAGCCACCAGGAACTCTCCATCTGCTTCACCCTGATTGCACCAGGCCCTGGGTGCCATTAGAGAGTCTCCCTGCTGGGCTCACTGCTGGGCAAGCTAGCAGCAGGCTCAGTGGGAATGAGTGGTGTCACCTTCCGGAAGGAGGGCCAGGCCCCTTTCTTCTCTAAGATGTGCCTCACTGGGAAAGGCAGCTTGTTTAATGACTGTGGCTGGGGTGAGGGGGACCGAGCCACACTACATCAAGTGCAGGCAGGATTGTCAAGTGCACCTCATTTTCAGATGGGGAAGGAATCACGTTTCTGAGAAGCCAAGTAACAACCAGGGTAGGGAGAATATGACTCCACACACGCTTCTTTTCAGAGTTTCTTTTTTTTTTCCTTAAAATAATTGTACAATGTTTGGAAACCTAGGACGAAATTATCAGAGCACATAGGTACTTGAACTGTGCCATTCAAACCTGCTTTATCCTAGAAAAGTGACAAATCACAAAATGATGAAAAAGACAGTGGCTGCCCTGCCAGTAGCCTTCCCATCCTGCTTTGCTTAATTACAACAAACTAGATCAAGATCTCTCATCTAATCTATGTCAAAAATGCTTTGACAAGAATCATTCAGAGAGTGGCAAACAAAACAAAACAAACAAAGCCCTGTTGCTTTAAACCATGTCTCCAAGCCATTTGATTTGTAATTGATTCAACAAATACTTAGAGTGGTGCATCAACCTCTCCATGGGTCCCGGGCATCCCTCATCATCCCTAGAGATCCTTCAAACATCATGGATCTCTGTTAAAACAACCTCATTTTCTGCCAGACTGACTTGTCCCTGTTAAAACACAGCATTTGTGAGTTGATGTCACAAGCCTTGGAAAAGGCAAGGGGTAGGGAGGGGCTGAAGAAACGCCTTAGCAGTTAAGACCACTGTTACTCTTGTAGAGGACCCAGGTTCTATCACCTGCATCCACATGATGGTTCACAAGCATCCATAACTCCGGTTCCAGGTGACATGATACCTCCTGACCTCACAGGACACCAGGTAAGCACGGGTAAGCACACATACATTCATGCATCCACCTGACCAGCATTTAATTAAAGCTGCTTTAAATTTGGCTTTAAACTATGGTAGTGGGCTTATTCTGAGCCGATGGGATTAACATTTTCTGGAGCCCCCAGCAAGATTCAGACCACCCACCCAAATTCTAAAGCTGGACTTTCACCCCATCCGGAGTTGAGGGGCTGCTTCAGGAGGCATGAGCCTTGAGATGTTCCAAGGCTCCAAGGCTCCCTTCAGTCAACTGCCACACTGAGAAATGCAGCATTTACAGAGGCCTCCTGGTGAGTCACAGGCTGGTTCTGTTCTGTGAGATCCCTATCTGGGACACGGAGGGGGTTTGACAGGGCCCCGCTGTTCTCTCATCCAGGGCAAACAGTGAGATGTCGCCTGCCCACCTGGGTCTGGTTGGTTAGAAAATTTTGTTTGTTTCCCATGGAAAGTTTTGTCTGTGTGTTTCCTGGTGTGTCTGTAAGTGTTGTTGCAAACTTGGAGCTGAGACAGAAATGGGTCGGATATTTTTGCTGTCTCTGTTGCCAGCCACCAGTCACCACTGCTGCCATGGCTGCATTTATGGCTGGGACTCAGAGGCTGCATTTATGGCTGGGGCTCAGAATTTATCTCTGAGCTCTCTCGTCACTGGGTTTGGGTTAGTGTAGCTAGAGAGCTTCTCTCCAGGTCCCGCCAAGCCCCCGCAGTCGCATAACCCACGTATAAAATAAACACACAGATGCTTATATTATTTAAACTGTTTGGTCTAATGGCTCAGGCTTCTTGTTAACTGTTCTTATATCTTAAATTAACCCATTTCCATAAATCTATACCTTGCCACGTGGCTCGTGGCTTACCGGCATCTTCACATGCTGCTTGTCATGGTGGCAGCTGGCAGTATCTCTCTCTCTCTCTCTGCCTTCCTGTTCCCTCAATTCTCCTCTCTGTTAGTCCCGATTATAGTTCCTGTCTGGCTACTGGCCAATCAGTGTTTTATTTATACAGAGCAATATCCACAGCAGGTTAGCAGGAGTTCAGATGTCTTTTTGGTGTGGATGGCATTAAATCTGTTTTATGCTGTTCTACTTCATTGGAAAGCTGGCTCTGGAGTTGGGTTATAGCTCTCCCTTCTCCAGACCCAGGCATATTTAAGATCTGCCCGCTGATCTACCTGACACTCTGACAGGGGAAAGAAAGTGAAGCAGAACAGTCAGAACATTCGACTTGGTTTATGTGAACATTCTGTAAATTACAAATCAAGATTTATAAGTTTATATTATTGGATATGGTTAAAAATCTGTAACATCTGTGAAAAAAGTTAACAAAACTAGTAACACTGGGATTTAATAGTTAAAAATCTATACTTCTATGCATAGGCAATTTTAAAGGAATTATGTGGCATGATTCCATTTTGGGATATAAGTAAGACATGGATTGCCACCATCTTTAGGCAGCCACATTGCTGGCAGCCATCTTTGCTATGATTGGAGAAGATGGATGTCATGTGATTTCACTACCATCTTGATTAAAGGTGACCACATGGTGTGGACTACCAATGAGGCAATGACAGTTCTCCAAGGTATTTTGGATTAAGATGGATTTTTGTATAATTTCTGTCCTGTCCTAAAAACAAGGCTTATGAAAGAGAATTTAAAAACAATGCTTGTTTAATAAGGTATTAAGGCTGCAATTCAATACTTTCTTATGCAAGAATATACCTTGTGCTGGCAGCCAGACTTTATAACATAAGAGTCACCCAGGTGATATTGGTTTTAAAGACATGAAAGGGTCATGGGGAACAGCCAAGGCTTACCAAGGTATGGCAGGGCTAGAGTTCCTAAAGAGAGTACAGTTGCAATGGTGGACCTTAGTAGTTTTGGAAATGCTAGTGCCATGTGCTAGTCACCAGAAGCACCAGCCACAGTGAAATGGAGCAGGCTAAGACCTAGAAGGTAGGCTATGTGTGTGCTGAGGGTGGAGCCAAAGAGGTAATCCAAGCACTTCCAGAAAACCAAAAGGTGTGAATGAATCCCAAATGTCGATCTTTGAATTGTTTGCACTGTTGGAACTTGGTTTTGCCATACAGATTATGGTTGTGCCCTGTTGTCTCCTTCTTTAAGTATATAAAGGTACTTTATATTTGATATTATAAGAGCACATGGTTGAGAGAATTTAAGCTTTTTTAAGAGAAAATTTTGGAGTTTTAGAGAAAATTTAAATAAAAAACTGGATTTTTTTAAAGGAACAGCTTTAAAATATTTAAATTTAAAGGCTATGGGACATTTTAAGTTTATAAAATGTTTCATATTATTAATATTTGAAATTTTAAAAAGGTAAAAATTAGGACCACAGCTATGAGCACCAAATACTAAACACTAGAAATTGGGATGTTCCTATCTTATGATGCAGTAGGATGAT